ATTAAGAAAAAGCTACATTTTTGCTTTTGCTTCACAGTTGTCTGTTACTTGTGTGTGAACGTTCAGTAAAAAAATCTAAATACAATTAAGATAAAAAATATTGACAAAATGAGCAAAACATTCAAGCTGTGTCTGTTCCGGTAGATCAAAACAATGCAGAGTAAACTATGATTTCAGCAATAATAACAAACACATAGAAACCATTGGCCCATAGGAAGTGAGACAACCCAAGTCCATAAATGTTTATAAATGTCCATAACACACACTAATCTGACTGAGCCTTTAAACTTCCTGATTTATAAACATCAGAATCAGAATCAATGTATTGCCATTTGTAGAAAAAAAGAGGACACACCGGGGGCACCAAAAATGAGTCAATGAATCAGTTAAGAATTCATTAACAGTATAGAAATAACTTAACTGTTCATTCTTTGATCCGTCCTCCGAGTTCTCTGAGATTACTGCGGTTGTGATGTAGCGCTAAACAAGAATAAATTGTATTGTGTTGTATTGAAAAACCTGTAGAGATGAGTCGATAAATCGTCACAGCCTTCACTTTTCTGGAGTCCGTTATTGCTGTAAATGACTTAGTATGATGGACGGTCCCTGCGGCCTGTGCCCTTGGCTCTCAGCTCCTTCTGATCCGTCTTGGACCCACGCCTCATATTAAACTCCGTGTGTTGTCAAGGTCAGATTGTTTATGGAGAACGTGACGGAAAGAGCCTGAAGCTGCCGTTGAGCTGCAGATGAAGCACTGAAGCATCAAGGCAGAGGCTTGTGTTCAGAGCAGCGAGAGCGACCAGACGAGACCATAAAAATCACGTCCAGTTTAGACCCGGGGTGTCCAGACTTCTGCTGTTTAAGGGTGGTACTCACGACAAGAAGAATGGAAATGCTGTGAAAAGAAGCAACGGTTTAAGGTTTTTAAGGCTGGAATCTTAACCCGGGTTTATCACAGCTCTCCCACTGTTATGTGACTGAGGTTTGTAGGAGTTTGCTAAAAAAAACATTGATATATTGCCATTTTTAAAAATACACACAGAGATATTATTTAGTGATATTGATTTTTTTATCCATATTTTTTAGGATTCCTCCCCCAATATAAAGTATCAATATGTAAGATTGCCATGTCAAGTCATCATTAAAGGGCCCTAATCTGTCAAAAATGAATAAAACATGCTCTGTTCCAATACTTCTTTAACTGATAACAACAAAGATATGCAAATAAAACTAAATTCAGGAAGTCTGTGATCCGGGCGCCAGAACTCACCCGTGGAGCTAATCTCACTGGTAAAGTACCATGTGGCGCAGAACTAAAAAAGGTCTCGTTTTATCATGAATAATTCAAGAATCATGACAAGGAATAAAAGCAGGATTTCTATCTTTGTGAAAAAGGTGTTGGTTATAGATTTGTTGTTGACAAAACTCTTGTCTATTCAGCTGTTAGGGTCCCAGCTGGATTCGTCTGCATATCTGGCAACCTGAGTCAGGGAGAGTGGGAGAGGCTGCAGTACCACTTTAATCCAGATTTTTAGATACTGCTCCTTCAAATGGATAAATATTGTGTTGTCGTAGAAAACTTTAAAACAAGATTAATCGGATATCCTCTAAATAAATAAATAAATAAGTTAAGTTAATGATTTAGTCTTCTCCAAAATATCGATGTTTCCAGAGAGCTTCACTATGTCCTCACTGAACAAAAACGGGAACTTGCAAATCTAGTCAGAGCCGCAAAAAAAGTACAACTCTATCCAGTTCACAAGCAAGAACATTTAGTCTGTCCCAAAATCTGGACACCCCTGTACACCACGACAGACAATGAAGTTACTGATGACTTCTACTCAGACTGCGTTAGCCTTAATGCGGAAGAAGCTAATTTGAACATAAGCTAGCTGGAGCCAATTTCCTAATATGGGCATTTGTTCCGATGGTGCTAGATTTGCGCCGTAACCGAGGCAGGCAGATGTGTTGCTATGATGGTTGCTAAGGCAAGCTGGAGTATCCCCGGAGAATGAAGACATCTGAGTGTAAGTCCAGATGAGAGCCATAAGGAGGCACCATAAACAGTATCATAGAGAGCGACAAACCATGGACCCAGTTTACACTTCTCAATGTAAAACAATAGGAGCCAGAGCGAGACAATGCTAAACTTTGTCTATGAGCACTTCCCTATTGTGTTTCATTGAGCTAGCGTGTTAGCATGGTCCATCTTTATACAGTCTATACTTTTACAGCGAGTGGAAAACTAAAATGTGAAACTGTGACATATTAAAGGTGTCGTTATGCGAGCCTTGGATCACACATTATCTGTTCAAGGTTTGTTTTTGTGCCGTTTGATCGTTACGTAAGAATCTGGATCCTGTTACACATTTCTGACTTTTTCATTTCTTTTAATATCTCCAGCAGAAACACAATACTATGAGCCCCAACACCAGCACACATATAATTCAAATTTGGACTCTGAGGAGCACAGGGACTGGCCTCCTGCTGTGGAGATTCAGGAGCACAGGGACTGGCCTCCTGCTGTGGACTCAGAGGAGCACAGGGACTGGTCTCCTGCTGTGGACTCAGAGGAGCACAGGGACTGGTCTCCTGCTGTGATATCAGAGGACCACAGGGACTGGCCTCCTGCTGTGGACTCAGAGGAGCACAGGGACTGGTCTCCTGCTGTGATATCAGAGGACCACAGGGACTGGCCTCCTGCTGTGGACTCAGAGGAGCACAGGGACTGGCCTCCTGCTGTGGACAATGAGGAGCACAGGGACTGGTCTCCTGCTTGTTCCAGACTCAGGACTAAACATGGGGAGGCAGCATTTCAGATTTTTGATACTAAAACCTGGAACAGTCTTCCTGAAAATGAGAGACAGGCCTCTACTCTGACAATTTTCAAATGCAGGTTAAAAACAGTTCTGTTTAGAGGTGCAGACAACTTTAGGATTTGCTCTTTTTACTTCCTGACTTTTATGATTTGAATGCCTTGTGTATGAACTGTGCTATACAGATAAACTGGCCTTGAAAGACTCTCACTGAATCAAAGGCACAGTCCTCCCGTATCTGTTCCGCCGGACGCTGTAATCACCTCCTGTATCATGTCCTCTTTAAGTGATGCTAATCTCAGAACAAGTGAAGGCCATTTCAGACTCTTGGCAGCGGTATGAGCAGCGCGCAGCCCACGGTCCATCTGCCCAGCCGCACTGAGCTGTCGGCCTGTCCCGCTCCCACTCTGTCCCAGGTGTTGGGAGTCCATCAAAAGGAGGTGATTCTTCGCTTCGGGCTCGTTCCGGTCACACGTGGGTCGACTGTGACCGGAACGAGCAGGAGCTGGTTCTGTTAGTTTTTGTGAGACTTAATGCGGGTTTTTTTTTTTGCAATTATGGAAACAGAGCAGAGATATGAATGTGATGTTAAGAGTTCTTATTATCAGAGAGTTTGTGGAAGACAGAGAGAGAGAGAGAGAGAGAGAGAGAGAGAGAGAGAGAGACAGAGAGAGACAGAGAGAGACAGAGAGAGACAGAGAGAGAGAGAGAGAGAGAGAGAGACAGAGACAGAGACAGAGACAGAGACAGAGGCAGAGGCAGAGGCAGAGAGACAGAGGCAGAGAGACAGAGACAGAGGCAGAGGCAGAGGCAGAGGCAGAGACAGAGAGACAGAGACAGAGGCAGAGGCAGAGGCAGAGGCAGAGGCAGAGGCAGAGGCAGAGACAGAGGCAGAGGCAGAGACAGAGACAGAGACAGAGACAGAGACAGAGGCAGAGGCAGAGGCAGAGGCAGAGAGACAGAGACAGAGGCAGAGGCAGAGGCAGAGGCAGAGACAGAGAGACAGAGACAGAGACAGAGACAGAGACAGAGGCAGAGGCAGAGGCAGAGAGACAGAGACAGAGGCAGAGGCAGAGGCAGAGGCAGAGACAGAGAGACAGAGACAGAGACAGAGACAGAGACAGAGGCAGAGGCAGAGGCAGAGGCAGAGGCAGAGAGACAGAGACAGAGGCAGAGGCAGAGGCAGAGGCAGAGACAGAGAGACAGAGACAGAGGCAGAGGCAGAGAGGCAGAGACAGAGGCAGAGGCAGAGGCAGAGGCAGAGGCAGAGACAGAGAGGCAGAGACAGAGACAGAGACAGAGACAGAGGCAGAGGCAGAGGCAGAGAGGCAGAGGCAGAGACAGAGAGACAGAGGCAGAGGCAGAGGCAGAGGCAGAGACAGAGAGACAGAGACAGAGGTAGAGGCAGAGGCAGAGACAGAGGCAGAGGCAGAGGCAGAGGCAGAGAGGCAGAGGCAGAGGCAGAGGCAGAGACAGAGGCAGAGACAGAGAGACAGAGGCAGAGGCAGAGGCAGAGGCAGAGGCAGAGGCAGAGACAGAGAGACAGAGGCAGAGGCAGAGGCAGAGGCAGAGGCAGAGACAGAGAGACAGAGACAGAGACAGAGGCAGAGGCAGAGGCAGAGACAGAGGCAGAGACAGAGGCAGAGGCAGAGGACAGAGAGACAGAGAGCAGAGGCAGAGGCAGAGGCAGAGGCAGAGGCAGAGACAGAGGCAGAGACAGAGGCAGAGGCAGAGGCAGAGGCAGAGACAGAGGCAGAGGCAGAGGCAGAGACAGAGAGACAGAGACAGAGGCAGAGGCAGAGACAGAGAGACAGAGGCAGAGGCAGAGGCAGAGGCAGAGGCAGAGACAGAGGCAGAGGCAGAGGCAGAGGCAGAGAGACAGAGGCAGAGGCAGAGGCAGAGACAGAGAGACAGAGGCAGAGGCAGAGACAGAGGCAGAGAGACAGAGGCAGAGGCAGAGGCAGAGACAGAGGCAGAGGCAGAGGCAGAGACAGAGAGACAGAGGCAGAGGCAGAGGCAGAGAGACAGAGGCAGAGGCAGAGGCAGAGACAGAGGCAGAGGCAGAGGCAGAGACAGAGAGACAGAGGCAGAGGCAGAGGCAGAGACAGAGAGACAGAGGCAGAGGCAGAGGCAGAGGCAGAGACAGAGAGACAGAGGCAGAGGCAGAGGCAGAGGCAGAGACAGAGGCAGAGACAGAGAGACAGAGGCAGAGGCAGAGGCAGAGACAGAGAGACAGAGGCAGAGGCAGAGGCAGAGAGACAGAGGCAGAGGCAGAGGCAGAGACAGAGGCAGAGGCAGAGACAGAGACAGAGGCAGAGGCAGAGGCAGAGGCAGAGGCAGAGAGACAGAGGCAGAGGCAGAGGCAGAGGCAGAGGCAGAGGCAGAGGCAGAGACAGAGGCAGAGGCAGAGGCAGAGGCAGAGACAGAGGCAGAGGCAGAGACAGAGAGACAGAGGCAGAGGCAGAGGCAGAGAGACAGAGGCAGAGGCAGAGGCAGAGGCAGAGACAGAGGCAGAGGCAGAGGCAGAGACAGAGGCAGAGGCAGAGAGACAGAGGCAGAGGCAGAGGCAGAGACAGAGAGACAGAGGCAGAGGCAGAGGCAGAGAGACAGAGGCAGAGGCAGAGGCAGAGGCAGAGACAGAGGCAGAGGCAGAGACAGAGACAGAGGCAGAGGCAGAGGCAGAGAGACAGAGGCAGAGAGACAGAGGCAGAGGCAGAGGCAGAGACAGAGAGACAGAGGCAGAGGCAGAGGCAGAGAGACAGAGGCAGAGGCAGAGGCAGAGACAGAGGCAGAGGCAGAGACAGAGACAGAGGCAGAGGCAGAGGCAGAGGCAGAGAGACAGAGGCAGAGGCAGAGGCAGAGGCAGAGGCAGAGACAGAGGCAGAGACAGAGGCAGAGGCAGAGGCAGAGGCAGAGAGACAGAGGCAGAGGCAGAGACAGAGAGACAGAGGCAGAGGCAGAGGCAGAGAGACAGAGGCAGAGGCAGAGGCAGAGGCAGAGACAGAGGCAGAGGCAGAGACAGAGGCAGAGGCAGAGAGACAGAGGCAGAGGCAGAGGCAGAGGCAGAGGCAGAGGCAGAGAGACAGAGGCAGAGGCAGAGGCAGAGAGACAGAGGCAGAGGCAGAGGCAGAGGCAGAGACAGAGGCAGAGGCAGAGACAGAGACAGAGGCAGAGGCAGAGGCAGAGGCAGAGGCAGAGAGACAGAGGCAGAGGCAGAGGCAGAGGCAGAGGCAGAGGCAGAGGCAGAGACAGAGGCAGAGGCAGAGGCAGAGGCAGAGACAGAGGCAGAGGCAGAGGCTGAGACAGAGACAGGTAGAGAGAGAGAGAGAGAGAGGCAGAGAGAGAGACAATAATAAGATGTTCCTCTTTGCTTGTTCTTGAGAAAGGCAGAAACTTTCTGTTGTGTGACATGAGAAAAACAGGAGCAAATATGTAATTTCGTACATATTTGCATACATAACTTACATAACTAAAACACACACACACACACACACAATATCTGTTCTAACTGAATTTCTGACTTCTAAGCATGTGGCTGTGTACAATAGACTTGAACCTGAGATCATAAATAAATATGACTTACTTATTCTACATTGCCAAGTTTTCACATCGGATACTGCTTTCCAAAAATAGAAAATAAAAAACAAACATCTACACTTTTACAGTTATAAACTAAATATACTGTCATTATATACTGCTGTAAATCTACCTTCCCTCCTCCCACATGAACACACTGCAGCACTTATTCAAGCTCATGTTGAATTATTATTTATAGTAAACTCAGAGAAAAGTTAAAATCTCTGAGGTCGGAGCATGTGCGTGTAAATAAGGGCCTTTTACTTCCTCACGCAGCGCCCGTTTGTTTAGGTCTGGGTACTTCCTGGTTTTCAGAACACTGTACTGGACTATGTCACGGAACGCATGGTCCCACAGCGGGGAAATGACAGTGTTGCATCACAAGTTACAGAACAGTACGAATGAGGAGCACACAACTCAAGATACATGAATAATAACTATATACACAAATAAGATAAAATGTCTAACTCAAGCATAAAAAGAAGCAGGATAAAATCTCTATCTTTATCAAACTTACTACTTTTAATAATACTTTAATACTTACTATTTTTGAGTTTTTGCCTTTAGAGTTTGATTGGTCAAAATGTCATAATTCAAAAACATAAGGCAACAATAATGATAATAATAATAAGATATATATAAAAAAATCAATAATAATAACAATACTATTAATAAAGTATAGAGGTTAAAAAAATACATACGTACACACACGCATAGATCACGTATAGACACACACACACGCACACACAATCTCCATATTTAGCGATGAAAAACGTCTAAAATCTCTAACTTTACACACACACACACACACACACACACACAGACAGACACTTCCCCTGACCTCTAACCCTACACACACACACACACACACGTACACACACGTACACACACACACGTACACACACACACACACACACACACACGTACACACACATACACACACACACACACACACGCACACACACACACACACACACGTACACACACATACACACACACACACACACACACGCACACACACACACACACACACACACACACACACACACACACACTCACATATATGAATTTCAGACCTATTCCCATGACGACAATAACTTCATTCATTCACTGGACTTACATAAACACAAAACCAGTGTGTCTAAACGAAAGGTTAAAAATGCCTCTTGCTTTCTCAGCACAGCCTCAGTCCTCGTTCTACAGCCTGACTCCTGGATCTGTGCAGCCTCAGTCCTCGTTCTACAGCCTGACTCCTGTCCGTCCATAGCAGCAGATCTCTCTCTCACTGTGGGCCTCCCTGAGATTTCCCACTTTTTCCCACTGGGTTTTTGATTCGTTCTTTTTTGATGCAGGAGGGTCTAAGGACAGTGATGATAATATATGGACAATTATGGACAATTATGGACAATTATGGACAATTATGGGCAATTACGGAAATATATGGACATTTATGGACAGTAGTCATCTGGCTATGGACCAATGGCTCTTATGTGTTTGTTACTACTCAATTCTTGCTTCTTTATTATGCTAAAGTTAGAGATGTTCTTTTACTTTAGTATAGAGTTATGATGATAATGCATTGTTTTTATACAGCACTTTTTGGACACTCAAAGACTTTCACTCCATGCAAAGTGGTAATAAACTACTACTGAAGCCACAGCTGCCCTGGGGCACACTGACAGAAGCGAGGCAACCAGTATATGTCTCCGGCACACCAGACTCATTCTAATGTGGGTGAAGTGTCTTGCCCAAGGACACAACGGCAGCAGACATCCGTGGGAGTCGGTGGAGAAAGTCTTGACCTTCAGGCTCAAACGCCAGTGCTCTACCAACTGAGCCACTGTCGGCCCTTATGTTGTGTGTCATACTGTTCTGTAACCGTTGATACAACACTGGCA